AAAACATTGGTGAATGCCACAAATTCTCCTAAATCACTCGTACGCACAACTTAAGAACAAATCTGTGCGTTTGAACGGTTCTTGCATGAGGCCCATTGATCCATATCATCGTCATATGCCGTCTAACTTAATTGTTAGATCTGATATTGAATCATAATCACAGACTTGTGAACTGAAATTGTGTCATGACAGACTTGGTGACATTGAGAAACATCCAAACAAATTAATATAATGTGATATTGTGATAAAGCTGCTGATTTACACTCCTTTTGTTGTTTTACATAAAGTTTAACCTCCGTCTCTTGTCATCATAAAACAATAGAGGAAATTCTGAGTTTATGTGTGTGAAAGGAAGTGATGCATTGTCCAGATTATTTAAKAGGGCTTCTGTCTTTACAGGAAAAGAGACATCAGGATCGAGCCCTGGCCATATACAAGCAAGTCCTGCGAAATGATGCCAAGAACCTTTATGCTGCTAATGGCATCGGTATTTCTCAGCTTTGTTTTGTGTTCTTGTATTATTTATATCTCCCTGCTGTATGCTTAAAGCTTAAATATAAACCTGTTTGTTCAGGAGCCGTACTCGCCCATAAGGGTTATMTCAGAGAGGCGCGAGATGTGTTTGCACAGGTGAGAGAGGCCACTGCAGATATCAGCGATGTCTGGCTCAACCTGGCTCACATCTACGTGGAACAGAAACAGTACATCAGCGCCGTGCAGATGGTGAGGAGCTTACTAACTCTCAACAGTTTTGTTTTTATTCACTAATAAAAACTGAGTTCTTCTTTCTGTCTTCAGTATGAGAACTGCTTGAAGAAATTCTACAAATACCAGAACACAGAGGTGCTGCTGTACCTCGCAAGAGCCCTCTTCAAATGTGGGAAACTACAAGAGTGCAAGCAGATGCTGCTGAAGGTATCAAACGAATAAAAAGGCATTTATTTTATTGTAAAAATGAGAGAAGGTAACTGTCTCTTATGTGCGCTCACCCAGGCTCGGCATGTGGCCCCCAGTGACACGGTGCTGATGTTCAACGTGGCCCTGGTGCTCCAGAGGCTGGCCACGCTGGTACTGAAAGATGAGAAGAGCAACTTGAAGGCTGTGCTCAGTGCCGTCAAAGAGCTTGAACTGGCTCACAGGTAGAAATGTGACTCGATACCTTTTATACCCACTGTTGTTCTCAGTTTAACCAGCGACTTTCATCTCATCGCAGATATTTCAGTTACCTCAGCAAAGCTGGAGACAAGATGAGGTTCGACCTCGCGCTCGCTGCTTCTGAGGCCAGGTGAGGCTGTTGTATTTGCATCAGAGAGTAAAACACATTAAAGTTTTTAGCAGTGTTGTATGAAGTACCACAAAGTGATACTTAAGTAAAAGTACAAGTATCTCACCAAAAAATTATTTTGGTAAAAGTTAAAGTCTCCTTTAGGAATATTACTTGAGTAAAAGTCTTAAAGTATCTGATATATATCTATTTTTTTTACTACAGTAT